TGAATAATGAGAAATGGGATATAAATGAGGTCACACGAGATGTGAATAAATTGATGATGATTGAAGGTGAGTGAAAAAATGATTAATAAATAACTGGAGGAAAAGGTATCAACAATTATATAATACAGTACCTTTGAGACTGAATTCGAACGTGGAGGAAAGTCTTTCGTAGAGTCAGCTCGGCGGATTCTGGCTGACTTGCTCGGATGGCTTGAAGGTAAAGCGGGGGCAATGTCAAGGTGCTATAAGGCTCGGCGCATCCCTGACGGGCGGTCATTCCACGCGGAGAAATTCAATCGGAGCGGGACGAGAAACCTCGAACGGGATAGTTCAGCTAGCCGTAATAAACGATGAAGAGTATTCTATTGGTGTGTGCGTGCTCGTTGCTGATCGGGGTCCAGGCCATCGGCAGGTACAGAGGCCTCGAGTTTTTGGATCCTTGCCCCAAGAGTGATTACAACGTCGAGAGTTGCTTAGCAAGATCAGCCAACGTCCTCACCGAGCACTTTCAACACGGTAAACACGGCCTTCATACGATTTTTATAAAAACTAATGCATTCTTGACGTCAGGGACGTAATCTAGATCGAAATTGCTTTTGGTATTAAAAAATAATTATCTTTCATTTGTGTACATCCAATTTTTCTACAAATGCAGAAAATTCACTCAGTCGAGTGATAAGAATTTCTAATATCGGATTGCTGGATCGTAATAGAAATTATGGGCTTAATAAGGAATGGGATTTCTTATGTCAGAATTCTATTATATATAGAAAATTCCCATTCTGAAGTCATACATTTCCAATTTCTATCCATTGACGCTTGCCAACAGCCGTTGGTATATCTAAGAGATTGATGGAGTCGTTTTGTAAAAGTGGAATTCGTCTAAGCGAAAAATACGGAAGTCGAAAGTCGGGAATTACGGATCACCACGTGGTGTCGTTGAACGGAGTGAAAAACATTCGCGGGAAAGAAGCAGGTTATAACGGTGTATTCGAATGGTCACCCAGTGTCCTACATTCCTTACTCACTGTACGACACGACAGGCTCAACGAGAATAGGTTCTAACTTCGCTCACTGTTCCAAACGAATTTCTAATCAATTTACTATTCATTTATTCTAACAATGGTAATAAACTTTTTCTATTTATCAATTATGAGATTGTAGCTATTGTAAGACGTCTCAATTGGATAGTTACGGTGTCACCTATTTTGCATTCACGTTTCCATCCTTTCACTGCTTTCTTTAAATACGACATTGCCACAGCTTAATAAAATTGTTATTTATTACAGATTTTACAATCTCATTTTTATGAAATAATAAAATTTCAATGTCAGATTTTAAATTTGCCGAATGACCTTATTAATTGTGAATTAATTTGACATTGGAATTTTCAGGTTTGCCTCAGTTGGGCTACCCGGAAGTGGAGCCGATCATTCTGGATGAATTACACATCGCCCTTGGCGGAGGACCGGATGGGTACAGAGCTCAGTTCAAGAACATCACCGCGAAAGGAGTGTCGACGCTGCGAGTGACAGGGCTGAGGGCCAGGCTGTCGGACGACGAGGTGCAATTGCAGTTGGCCCTGAGTATTCCAAAAATTCGCGCCGCGGCCAAGTACAGGTCCAGCGGCACTCTGCTTCTGGTGAAAGCCAGCGGAGCCGGGGACTACTGGGGCGAATACGGTGAGCAGTCAATCCTTAATCCAATTCAATTATTTGGTTTATTTATATTTCAATAAAAAGTGTCAAAATCATTTGACGTCAGTTCGTGTCAATCATTCAATTTTTTATAAATAAATGACACCTTGAAATGCGATCTAATTCAATGTTTAGTTATTAATTAAAAAATATTAATACTGCAATGATGGTAGATGATTATGCGTGAATATAGCCAAACGGTATGATAGAAGATCGCGGGCTCAGTGAAAAGGTAAAAGTTAAGAGTTTCAACTTTCACCACCGACGCAATGCAAATTCGACTTCAGCTGACTTTTATTACGCTCCGTCGACTCATGCGTTCATTATTTTTTCTGTACACAGTAATTGTCTTCAACCATGAAATTAATTTATTATTATTTAGAATTTTTAGCAATTTTTCTTTATATTAAAATTCAATAAATTAAAGTATAAATATAAACTTGATAATTAATTATGTATAGAAATAAGTCTATTCTGTTGAACTTTGATGCACTTACGATATAACCAGTTTTATTAAATTGCTCCCAGTTTTTACTATCAATAAATACTTAATAAATGTAATCGATTGGTGAACTCAGTGGAAGGGAAAAGCAATAATTTTTCGAATCTCTCTGTGTATATAGACGGTGTCAAGGCTAAGGTGTTTATCAGGGCGAAGCCTTTTCTGATCCAAGGCCGACGATACTTGAGGCTACAGCAGCTTAAGATGGACTTCAGCGTGCAAAGTATTAAAATGGGCGTCGAAAATGTTCGCGACAGCAATGCCATTATTCGTAAGTCAACATCCAATTGAAGTACTTTAATTCCTGTGATTATGCAAATATAAAACGATTGAATGATGAATTAAAAAAAGAGTTTAAATGTAGAAAATCGTTGGAGATGAATAAAAGTGTTTGTTTATTTGCATACACTTGTAGCTCGTTTCAGGAAAATTATAGTTGAAAAACTTGCTTAAAGACCACGTTTCATCGTAAATTTATAGCTTATGCAAAATTAAAGACCATTTGAAACTACTTTAATTATTGACTAATCTAGCATATTTTCCAACAATTTCAGTGGCTGCGTTGAATTTATTCATTAATACCAACAGCCAGGAATTATTGAAGGAAATGAAACCGGATCTGAGGAGGAAGCTGGTTCAAGTAATGACCACCTTCGTCGAGAAGATCTTTGCTCAGGTGCCCTACGACGCTTGGATCACCGAGTGATCTATACCAAATGATTTCCCACAGACGAAATAAAGATCACCAAATACTTACGCCTCGAAAATCGACAGGCTTAAATAAGAGTGAAAGATCGAACGGAAGTATTCAGATACTTTTTGGAGAACGCTGGATCAAATCTCGTTCACAGAATGAATCAGAAATTAATTTTTAAGTAACGTTATTTAAACATTTATTTAATCCTGTTGCAACTGGGATATAAGAGGAACGATAGAATGAAATACGTTTTGCAAATCATGAAAATTGTAATCAAACGTATTGATAATTATAATCGCGTTATGAAATGAATCACAAGTTCCAATTTCAACGTCGCAGATCTCTAAAATGTACTCTGAAATTTCGTGTGCCTGACAATGTGAGTGATTGACAGTGTTCAGTTAAATTGCAATACCTATTTGTGTTAGATTACGTATTCATGTGTAACTCGACTAGTTCTTATGACTAATTGAAGAAGGAAGATGAAGAGAGCTGATTTTTAAATTATTTTATATTATTTAATAATTTCTTATTTATTTCTTATACGAGGATTTATTATCGTATTGATTTATATAGAAAGAATCTTATATAATATAATTTCCATAGCTCTCTTCGATTTCTCTTTTCAATTTATGCTTTGTTTCTAACAAATCGCGGCACGTCATCGTACGTCATTCGTTTTGTATTTTTATATATCTATGATTAAAAAAAATACGGATATTTATTTATTATAATAAAATGAAAATTTACTATGAAATAGAATGGAAAATATATTTGGAAGACACCTCAATGGGCGAATCTGTGAATATATGAAACAAGTTTCTTACACAATTCTGTGAAATAAAATAAAAAGTGAATCAATGTGGCAAATGTCAAGGTCAGGCTATCAGAGAGGAAAATCTACAACGTGTGATTCGTAAATTATTCATCAAGTCTATTTTAACGTACACGAATTTCTAAGTGCCATCCTCGCTGCGTTAAAAAATGGACTCGTTGGTAAAATTATCGCTGAGAATGAATCACTCGATGCTTTTCGGTTCTTAATTACCTGTTTGAGTGTCGAACGCACAAAAGGAAGAATCTCCGTTCAGCCGCTTGACGCGTCCTTCGACAAAAAAATAATGGAAGGCATGATTAAGAAAAAACATTCAATTACCCTGATCATACAAAAAGTATGACATTGTACATAATCTCTGTCAACACATTAATTCGAATGGAGTTATCAGAGTAGATGCGATTTTTTTTTCTTTGAAAATGTCGTTTCTATAATAATTTAGTACAGAGTTTCGCGAAGGAATTCAATCCTCTCCTTGCTCGAACTACCACCGAGTTGATAATCTCGCAATTTATCAATTCCGCGGGATGACGTGGGTTCGTGGAAAATGTACGAAACGGAGAGGACAATAAGAATAATTAGTTGGATCATCTGGACGTTTGAGACTTCCGGATGTCTCTTCAAGTACGACTACATGCTGCCACAATTTTTCATCCTGCAGTCATACGAAACTAATCAAATTACTCATTCGATTCATTGTACAATAACTATCAATTGCACTTCTGATAAATCTGATATCTTCAAAGTAAGTGATATTCGTTTCAAGTAAAATCGTAAATAACTTCTTGAAAAATCATGGAGAATAAAATTGAAAATTGAATCACGTTCGCCCTATTTACGCTCTTATAGTTAAAAGTGTAATTCTTATTTGGGACGAGGAATGTTCGATTCACGAATAAAACGGAGTCACATGAATTGATTTTATTTAATCTCAGTTCTCCAAATATTACAATAAATAATAACAAATTATATAAAATTCTATAGAAATATTTTCGAG